GGACAGTGAGAGTAAGTAGAAAAACAATATTCCTCACTTTCTTATCATATGGTTTTAAAATGACATAGTTTGTTTTGTATTAATTCAGATCAGAAGAATTTATTTGGTCGACAAAGAAGCTATTTTTTGGTATTTGGGAAAGTGTGTTTCGAAGAGTAAGAAATTAAAAACGGGGAATATTTATATAACTAAGACGTGGATGCTGCTCGACGAAACCATATTTCTAAGAAAAAAGTAGAATTACTACACTACAATAGTGGCAAATTTCATGTTATGTGTATATAGTCAGATATGGAAAACTGGAATTTTTTTTAAAAAAGATGTTCCAGAAGTGAAGATGTTTTAAAGATAGTAAATTGTTTGTGATGAACATTGCTGAAAATGAGAACATGCAAATGGATAATATTCTCACTTTCAGCAATGTTCATCACAAACAATTTACTATCTTTAAAACATCTTCACTTCTGGATCATCTTTTTTAAAATTTTTTTTCAACTTTTCCTCCCTGAATAATCTATGCGATGTTAGAAAAATAAACGTGCAAAAACACAAACAAAATGGCGCCACTACTATTAGTTTTGGTGTATGTTTTATTTGTGTGTCTTTTTCTCTGTCAATCTTCGTACGTTTTCTCCATTATGTGCTTCTTTTCTGTTTAAATGATCATCTAGCAACGAAAAGAAGAACGCGAATTTTAGAATAACCACAAAGAAACATTTTCAGGTAATAAATCGCTTTTACGTCATATGTCCGCCATGTTCTTTTCTATGCTTCAGGACTCTCATGTTATGTCCTGTACTACTGACGTCTTATTCTTTCCATCTGTTTCTCGTATGTTTACCTATATGTAAATTTTATATATAAATAGCTGTATTTTTTACGTCTGAGCGTGTAATTAGGTAGACGATTGTTTCCGAATAAAGTGAATAAGATAGAAAACCATTGAGTTTATTATATTGTTCCAAGAAACATGTGGTTCACTCTCAATCCCGCCATTTGTGCCTTCGTTTTCCTTTAGAAACGTTGAACGATAGTATTTTACTTTCTACTACTTGTCAAGTATTTTGTTTCCAAGAATTCTACTGTATTCTCAACTAAAATCAATAAAACCACTCCTTAAAGGAATTGATAAAATACAGGAAACATGTTATCGGTAGAATCTGATATTATCCGTAGCCGTCAAGGTTCCTATACTTCGAATAGTTCCTATATGTCTTTTCATAGTTTATAGAACTCAAACTTCCTAATTTTCGCAAACTTTTCCACCGTAATATTTTATTTGACATGTATAATTTTCAATAGCTATACTTCATACTATGAAGTTCATACTATGAAGCTATTGCAAATTATTCGTTATCAGAATGTAGCCGAAGAGTTCAGCTATCGAATGGTATAACTTTTATTCGTACACTCTTACAAATTTTTCTTTAAAAAGATTTTTCTTCGTAAGTGAGGCAATACTTTTGCATGGATGTCAGATAAAATTTTACGGTGAAAAAGTTTGGAAAAATTAGCAAGTTTGCCTCTATAAACTACGTCCATGTAGAAAGTAAATTTTGCCGAAGAGGTTCTCCCAGCAGACCTCGTCCGGTAAAACCCGTGGTACCTCAAAATTAGTCGACAAAAAATTTTTTTTTCAAGTGGGTCATAGATTATTGACTACCCTGATTCCGAATATCGCCATGTCAACTGCCCTTAGATTTTCAGAGAGCGATTGTCTGAAAAAACAGTTTTTCGAAAACTCTAAAAAGTAACCAAAATCTGTTCTTAATGAGTTAGGATTGTAGCCCGTAAATTTCGGATTAAAATGAGACATGTCCCAGCTCTGGAAGATCTTTCGTTGCAAAGTTATAGACTTTACAAGAATTAATACGAAACAAACTATGAAGAACAATATTTGTTTTTCGCTCACTGCCCACCTCTCCTTGTTTCATCAGATTTCCCGGCAGCTGAAAATTTTTGATGATGATATTTTTCAGTAATTCAGGTTTCGTTTTAGTGCTGCTCTATTTATAAAGATGGATCCCTTGAATTCTTCCATCTGTGGACACAGACAACCATCAGCCTAAACATCCGATGTAAACAAAATCGTATTATTCAATCATAAAGATTTAACGGAGGACTTGTAAAATAAATATTGAATAATTTTTAGCAACTGTTGTAAATTAAACAAAATTTATGTATTTATTTAAAGCTTTCGACTGATCCGAGTCATCATCGTTTTATTCAATCTCCCTCGTAAGCGCAAAGTTGCAGCAATGGCAACATTTCCACCCTGTACTAAGAAAAACCACTTGGTACAGACATAGAAAGAAATATTCTGTGAATGTAAAAATATATGCAGAAATTTCTTGATCCTCTGTAAATAAATCTGTGCAGAATCTTCTGTAAAAATCTGTATGTGGTTTATCAGAGATTAGGTACAAATTCTGTCTACATTCTGCAGTGATACGGCAGATTTTCTAAGTAGAAAGAATTTTTTATATATTAAAAATATCTTTTACTCTGCTGAATATTTTAAAAACATCGACAACTTTATCCGTTAGAACATCAATTTTGTAATTTTAAGCAATAGTATTATTTGGTATGTAGTGTTTATTTTGTCAAAGAAGAATGCTTCTTCAAGAGAAAATGTAAAAGTTTACAACGAACGCTTCTATATTATATTTCAAAAGGTGTGTATTTTCATGGATTGCTAATCTCAGTATAATCAAGCCACATTTCTAATCGAGCTTGTTTAGTTAAAATTATGTGGTTGAGCCGTTGAAAATTCTACATCAGCCGCCTCAATTTAGCGTTTATATAATGGAGCAATCTAATATTCATCGATGTTTAAACGAAATAATTCCAAGTTGATGATGATGGACCATTGAAAGTATAGTTTCTTTATCTGAAAACCACTGCATATCGTGCCATTAGAGAGAAGCCTATGTTATTCAAAGTTTGTTTCAGCAAAATGAGGATCCGAGTACTCTGATATAAATCGATTCGTGCGAAGGTGAGAAACTAAGGTTCGTCATTTCCATCATGGACGCTGTATTCAATGTTCATCATGATCATGCAAAAATATAATTGTGAAAATCTATGGAGATAAAAGTAGGTAATGGAAACATTGTCAAAATCACTTTACCTTCACTTATTTACGCTCTTTTCCCATGTAAATATTTTCGAGCCGGAAACGCGTCTGAAAACGCGTTTTTTCCTGCGTTTAATCGCTGCAAATATGCACCATTTGGCGCTATCTGGACGCGTCTAGACGCGTTATATATTGACGCGTTTGAACGCGTCTTTTTAAAATTTTTAAATTAAATTCTTTTTTTGAAAAAAGCTTTTTTTTATTGAACTAAAATTCCTATAATGAAATTCAGGTTCTTATAGCTACTGGAGGCGACGAGGAGGAGAGAAGAGCTTAATTGACATGAACGAAAGACAAGTATAGAAGATGTACTTATGGTGATTCGAACATGCGACCTAGAACAGAAAGAGAAATTACAAAGCAAAGTACTTACCGCTCAGCTAACTGAGCTTGGTACTTGCTCTATATTTTGTCAGCCTGTACGATTCGAAGTGAGAAAGAGTAAAAGTAATAAGAGTAGGTGGAGGATGAAAGTAAATATGTGGTTTTATAGCACTCCTCCCTAAAATTCCGAGAGAAAACGTGTTTTTTAGAAACGTCTCTTTAAAACTGGTACTTCTGCGCCATTTTTTGTTAGTATTGAGCGTATTTTAAATATTTCATTAGATGTAGCACTTGGAATTTAAAACTGCTTTATTTTTCATATATTTTCTTTATTTCTAAACCAATTCTAGACTGCACCAAAATATTTTATTTCCTAATTATTGTCCTTAAGGTATCACCGTACCCTACAGTGACGATACAGGCAAGCGTATTCGTGTTTTTCCACTTACTCAAGAGAACGATGACTACCCGCCACGTATCAATGAAACGTACGACGAGTGTATTTCATATTTAAAACAAGAAGAAGAATTATTACGTTCTAGATCAAGTAATGCAAAAGCTAAAGATAGAAAATTAACAGCAACTGAAAAAGAAGCATTTAGACGTCTGAAAGCAGGTCATCGTGGAGTCTGTTCTCTACGACAACTTCGTTACTTTGACACTGGTCGATCATTTGCAAGCGACAGTCTGCATAATTTGTATCATGGTATTGGAGTGAGTTCAGTTTAGTTCTCATTACTTTTTATAATCGTACTTTATTTTCTTTGCTTTAGTGACGGCTGCTGATGTTATGGCTTAGCAGCGAATACCGACATTCTTCATTCTCCTGTTTTAATAATATTGAAGTTATTGATGAATATTTATCTTCTTTCAAATATCCATCTACTACAGCAATGATACCTGGCTCCATTAAATTATTTCACAAATACAAAGAGAATGAAATTAAATTGATCATGTTATTTGGATTTGCTGCATTTGAATCTGTGATGAAAAAAGTTAATTATACTCATTTTCTATTGTTAGTTGTTGAACTTCATTTAGCTGAAAATAAATCAATCGATAGAGCAGAAATTGACATTATAAGGTTGTTGTTCAACAAGTTTTTAATTGATTTTCCACAACTCTACACGCCCAGACATAATGTTCAAGTTATTCACAGTGTGAAACATGTCAGTGAGTCGATTCATGATTTTTGTCAACTTCACAATTATTCTGCATTCAACTTTGAAAATCTTTTAGATGAGTTCTGTTAATTTTCTGCTTGTTATCTTAACACTTAAGAGGAGATGAAGTAAGAACGGAGGTGCAGTAGTTCCTGAGAACAGAAAAACGTGCTTTAGACGATTTGTTTCTGTAAATTTCTTCTTTTTATTTGTGTAGGTTTAATTACCTCCTCCTGTCATTCAACAAGACGTCACGCAATTGAAATCGACAGTAACCTTCGATTATTACGTCGAGCCTGTTTGAAAAGTGAAATTATCTCATTCAACCCATAATTGAAAACCTTTGTGAACTCATTACAATGCACAACTTCAACTGAATCGTCCACGATCACCGCAAATGATTCTAATGATCTCGTCAGATTTCGAACAATAGACCGAGACGTTGATCATTTACAGACCGTCCAGTCATTTTTCAACAGTGATTCACTGAGCCTCTTCAAAACAGCATTCGTCGGTAAACTACGGCTCACAGCAAATAAATATTTTTTAAATCGGCGCACCAACGACTCCTGTATTCTTTATGCCTTGCAAGGTAAACTCTATATTGGTTTCATCCATGGCTTCGTTCGTCTCAGTAACGAGAAACAAAATTTATTTCAAATTGAAAAAGTTCGTCTTACAGGAAAATTAGCTGTAGAGATAGATGAACAGCAAGTTAAATGTCCTAATATTCTATACGGTTCCTTATGTGAGGAAAAACACTATGTATTTATTAAAAGTTCACAGGTAGTCGAAAAACTTGTATTTGTCGAAGACAAACGTAGAAAAAGAATGATATTTTTTCGTTTTCCTTCATTACTAGAGTCGTCGTAATTATTTATGTATTCGTGAGTTTTAGCTTTTTTGGTTTAAACTGCAGTTAGATCCGTCCGCTCGATTAGATTCGACGCGGCGATACTAACTCAGTTTTTTCTTGTGAACACTTTTTTTCTTAGACTTGTTAGTTTTCGAAGTAAGGCACTCGATTAGATTCGATGTGTAGTAAAACTCTTTTCGAAAGTTTCTCGCTACGGAACTTTTGTAGCTACTTTTCATTGAATAGCCACTCGATTAGATTCGAATTTGGCTATTCCACTTTTTTGAACGATGGCTTTCTATTTGTAGATATGTCTTCCATTTCTTGCCTTCTCATACGAGAAAAAAAGTGATCTAAATCTTTCTCAGTGTACAGCAACGTCAGATGGTCTTATTCTGGTAAGATGACTAACTGTTTTTTAAGAATCAAAACGTGCATGCTGCTTTGTTTTTCTGTTTTAGATCAATGGCAAAAAAACTCGTTTATTTTATGAAAGTCTTGTAAAGATTGTTGGTGTAAATCAAACTAAAGAAGAATATCCAATGGTTGTTGTTATCGAAGTAAGAAAACTTAAAATGAATCAACTTCTGTTATTTCTTGGACTTTTTCTCTCTCTCTCTCTCTTTCTAGGCTTCAGATGACTTAGCGAAGCAGTCAATCCAAAAAATTAAACTTCTTCAGTCTACTGCTGACTCTGTCAACACGCAGTAAGTCAAGGTTCTAATTTTCACATCTAGAAGTTTTTGAAGATAGATTGCTCTTTTTAATCTTCACGACAGTCTTCTCCCCAAGTAGGTCTAACTGTATGTTCTTCATTTTCGTCCTCAGGAGTGTTTCTGTAGCAAATGTCAACGCACTATCAACAACTGTCACTGATATTCTGGCCACCACGCCGACGTGTCTGAGCTATTTACAACTGAAAAAAACAATAAATTGTTTAAATATGTGTTGTTTACTGTTCGACGATTCAGTAAGTTAATGCACTCTTCTTTTCCCGAGTCTTTTTCTTAAATGAGGAGTAGTTACTTTTAGATTCTAAAACGCCTATGTGATACACCGTTTACGTTTGTAAACACATCATCATCGCTGAAAGCTGCTGTCACCGAATTAAAGAAATCAAACATTATTTGTTTTGATCTTGAGGTAGGTTTGAAGTGGGAGCGCCGTTTCCTTTTGGTGTAAGTGTTCACACAAATAACTGACAGTTCTAGGTGCTTTAGTTTTCTTTGTCTAACAAACTCGTCTGTTTGTCTTTTAGTTTAACGAACGTTCGATTTCTACGGCTCAATTAAGTGATGGAACAACAGAATTTGTTATAAATATCAGTGCAATTCATTCACCAGAAGAAACATTTGAAAGTTTGAAAACCATCTTTGAAGACGAACAAATATTAGGTAAAATGTTTCTAGACTAGTAAAGTTTTTCATTAATAAGTTCTTCATTTCAGACTGGTCACGGTATAAAACAAGATATTATACGTTTAGAAAGAGTCAATATCAAATTGATTAATTTCTATGATGTTCAATACGGTCATTATGTATTAAATAACAAAATATTTGAACATATTTATTCTTTAACAAGATTGTGTGAATCGTACGGCAGAAATGCAATTGAATTTATGTCACAGAGTGAAAAAAAGTTTTTTCAATGTAGTAGTTTTGAAAAGTACGTAAACTTCATTGATTCACCGATTCTTTAGTAATGCGATCCTCTTTCTGACCTGATCTTTGTAAATTTAATTCTTGAAGTCTGATCTAACACCGATTGTTTTCTACTTTTAGTATTACCAAGAACGATAAACGAAGTCTCAAGTATTTACGACTAGATGTTCACAATTTATTATTTATATTTCAACAGTTGTATGGCCTCTTACTGATGAAACATATTCAATGGAAAAATATTACATGTCACGATAAATCATCACGCAAGACTGCTAACTATACGGCGCTTTCTTATTTTAGTGATGATGAGAAAAAACAAGAAGCAGATGATGAAGCGCCTACAATTACACTTGGTTTAACAGCAAACGAGCGTCACGAAGTTGAAAACGCGTTTGCATTAAAAACAATGTGGCGGCCAACACGTGGGGCACTGAGCGATCGATTAGATTCGAATTGCTCAGCTGATACACGTGAAAGCGAACATGCTACAAATGATATATCAGCAGCAATCACTCAGACAACTGTTAATATATTTCTAATTGTGAATGATGCACCAACGCAAAATTAAAGTTAAAATTATTATTAAAAGATTATTTCAAAGATAATCCATTGTTAACTTCAAATTTCGATTCAGTTGCAATTAACGTGCCTTGTGATATACCTTTGATTGATATTCCAAAACATTTAAATATGAAGCCATTCTTATCAACAAGTGACAATAAAACTGAACTTTATGAACTACAATCGGCTATACCTTCTCCGCCACAAACTAAAATAATTTATAAAAAAGCTGGTGAAGAATTATCCTTTGAACAGGCTAGTAAGTAAACTTAGAGCTTTTCTTCTACACTGCTTTTGTAAGACTAGGTTCGAGACTTTTGGCTCACTTAAGATTATTTGGAGTAGCTTAAATAGTCTTTTCCTAAGTGCTTTCGTTGTAGAGTATGAATGCTAGCGTTCTTTCGTGTTGTTTACTTCGTAAACTTGGCATTAGTAGCTGCACACACAACGCTCTCTCCATATGTGGCTATCTTACTTATTTGCAGCTAGTAAATTACCGTCTAGAAAGTGTTAAGTTAACTTAGTCTTCTTCATTTTTTAGCGAAAAAATACGATGATTTACAACTGCGTCGTAAAATGGAAGAAAGAGAAGCGCGTGGAGTGCCCGTGAAAAGAAAAGGTCGACTACAATCAACAACCCGCCGACGAAAACGATGACATCAACAATTACAATAATTAGCCATCGATTAAAATAAGGATGTAGAACTTTTCAAGAAATAAACTTGTTTTTTTATGTTATATTTTGTTAAATCCTTTTTGTTACAAAATATAGAACGAACAGAGTAATTCCGTCAATGAAATAATGTAAGCAGAATTATGGAGGGGGTGACTACTCTGATAGACTTTTAATTCGAGAAGGGAGAAGTCTTTTTCGTCAACTGAACTCCCTTAAATAGCGAAACGTCCTTAATGAATCGCGCTGGTAAACATCCTAATCTTTGTAGTAGAAAGATGTGAACTGAAGACAGTGACAAAACATTATTATGTCTATTCTAAATTGCACAACTCACTCGGTTCCGATGATCATTTTTCTAAGAGGTATAATGTTTTAGATAAAAATAAGTGAATGTGATAGTCAAAATGAGCTAGACTATGTACACATATATAATAATGTCAATGCTTTTCTCTTTTTCCTTTCTTAATGTAGTTCTTGAATAGGTTTCATAGTAAAAATAGAAAGATAGTAAGAAAAGAATAGAAAGTACAAGAACTGCACAACATGTATATATATAATTTATCTCACTCCGTTTAGACCTTGTATTTTTATATACTTGAAGATGATTTTTAAATAAATCGAAACGTCGGAATTTAAAATAAAATAAAATGATTCACACGGCTGCTTTTCCTATGTTTTTTCTACAGTGTGAAAGAAAAGAAAAACTTGTATATTAGCGTGAATATGAGTTTTCGAAGAGCAGCAAAATACGTCAACACATCTCTTGTAAGCAGAATGAAAAGAGACGCGACAAACTTTTTATGACTGAACAACATGCGCCTGGACGCATCCTTCTAGATAGACAGAAAGAAGCGATACCTGTTTAAATGCGTCAAACTGGATTCGACCGTTGCGTCTGGACTTGTTACTGGGAAAGAAAAGAAACGCGTTTAAACACGTCTGATTCTAACGCGTCAGTAATAGCTTGATGAAGCTGCGCGTCTGAACGCGTTTCTCGCGGAAGAAGGTAAAGAAACGCGGCGAGACGCGTTTAAAAATGTGCGTCTTATCGCGTCTAATGTTTTCCTTGTAAAAAAAGGCGTTTAAACGCGTCTTATTGTAACCCGTCTAGACGCGCAAAATTTTGTCGGCTTTAAACGCGTTTCGTTTCATAAAGGCTTGATTTTCGCACGAAATAGTCTACAGACGCGTCTCAAGGGTGTTTATCGAAAAAACGCGCCTGAACGTGTCTTTTCGAAAGGAAACGCATTTAAACGCGTTTAAACGCGTTCCTTCAGACGCATTCGATTTACATGGGTTCGCTCCCAATATATTTCCAAGCAAAATTAATAGCATATTTGAGATCAGCCGACAAAACTGCGTCGAATTACATGTTTGGTTAACGTATTTGGATTAACCGACATTAGAGCGCCCCCAACATTGACAGACCCTGACATTTGAGCGAAGCATATCACTTACAGGCGCTCACCTTCACCCTCTACAGATCTTCAAATAATTCAGTTCATAATCGTACGACAAAGAAACTGTTATCATCGCCGTTATTAATCGTTATCGAAGTGAGCAATCATTCCATTTTCCTGATCGGAAAAAAGTCGTATTGAAAAGTGTCTAATGTCGGGTCGCTTAAATGTCGGTTGATGGCATATTTGATACTCACTTAGCAAACAAAAAACTTTCATCGAAAAGTTTCTCCCTTGGTTGCAATGATCTTGATAATGTCATATTTCTAGACTAGGTTATGCATTTTTTTTCGCTGTATTTTAGTGACCATTAGGAGTCAACAGCGAAACTCATACCATAGATAGACGAGAGTCAGGGCTAGATTTTGGTAAAAAAGAAAATCTTTTACCTCTCTTAAATCACAAGTTATTAGTGTTTTACGGAAAATGAATGAAACTCATATCTCATGAGTCATCGTACAAAAAAGCTCATACTAGTCGGATGCTGTGCCGCAAGCCATTCCTTTTAAATAACTTTTGACTAACAATAGTTAGAGAGTTGTGGTCTTCGTCATTCGATAGCCAAGACATCGTCGCATCTTTATATAACACACGAGCTTTCCAAAAATATTTTAAAAACGGGTTTTCCACGAGAGCTCTGGAAAACCGCGCCATAACTCTGATATTCGTAGCATAAATCTATGTTTTGGAATTCCTTTCCAAAAACGAGCATCGCCATCAGATTCCACACTGTATTCATACAAGTCCCATATGTGACTCTTGAATGGAAGAAACCGCATCTCGATAGTTTCTTGAGTTGCGGAGCTATTCGATTTCTCCTAATGCTGCACTCTATTTTGGAATGGATAGTAGTAAGGAAGCAATAATCATATTAGCCACAAGAGAAGAGTTAAATTGTAATTATCTTGGTAGTGAGTTATCCCGTTGATCATTATTAGAGCAACGAGTGTTCTACTTGGCATCAAGCTTGTCATGCTTGTACTACACTAGCAGATAAAATTCATAAATAATCAAGTAGTTTAGTCCCACAGTACGGCACCTGGATTGATTTTGTGAAACGTGACAAACGTGACAACTGATTTAGAATATAAAC